CCCTCCCTCATGAACCCTTGATAAATTATAAATTATTATTTTCATATCTTACACAGTCTGCTGTCTTCCTTCACCTACGTTTCTGTTATTCGTCACCCTGGCTGGGGGGTTATACATTGATCATTGCGATCGGTTTCCCCTTTCTCCCACCTTCCCCCTACCCTCATGGTATCGCTACTTCCATTATTGCTCCTGAGGGGTTTATCTGTCCTGGAGCAATGCAATTTTTTACAAAGCCATCTTGCTATTTGCGATGGCTGCTATAGTTCGAAGACTCGGCTCTAAATTTATGCTCTGAGCCATCAAGTTGCTTCTGACTCACCGTGACCATACAGGACAGAGTAGACCTGCCCTTAGGGTTTCTGAGGTTTGACATCCTCCCAAAACAGACTGCTACATCTGTCCTCCACAGAGCAGCGGCTGGGTTTCCACTGGCTCACCCTAGGCTGAGCAGCTAAGCACTTAACTACCGTGCCACCAGGGCTTCTCAAATGACTGATCAACCCAAAACCCAACTCACTGCCATCGAGTCAACGCGGATGCCGATGGGTGTCTGAGGCTGGAACTGTTTAGAAAGGCCAGTCTTTCTCCTGAGCAGCTGCTGGTGGTTTTGATCTGCTGACCGTGCAGACCACAGCCCAACGCGTAATCAATCCCTGCACCACCAGCGTGCCTCAACACACTGGTACGTGAAGGGTCATTAAGGAACCTAGATGGTTTGTTCAATATTTGTATGACCCTGAGAGCGTTTCAACCCTTGGCAAAAATAAAGATTCAAATCTGTAAATCATGGAAGTGACATGCCCACAAACTGAAAACTAAGGGAAGGGTCGCTTTGGCCAAGTTCCCTTTAGCAGGTGAATGTGAACCGTCCATCTAAAGGTGTATGTGTAAGAAATACCTCAGCACAAGCCACCAGTTGTGCGTAAGGTCAGTCCACGTCTTGACCATCTGACTGAAAAGGGTGGGGACGAAGGCTTTCAAGGGGGTAGAGTCACCCAGCCTAAAACTGACCGGTGCCCGGTTTGCAGGAAGGGTACATTTAGACTCCTGGGCGTCTGGGAGTCTTCTGTGCCTCGCCTCCGGGTGTGATTCGCCTTGGCCGGCAGGCTCAGTAATCTCAGAATTAGGCTTTGCCGTCAGCAGCTAACTGCACCTGAACCTCCTGGGGTGGGGGCTTCCTGACCAGCTTGGGCTGCAAGACGGGAACACCAGATCAGCTCTTCCTGGAGGTGCAGGGATGGGCGCTCAAACACTATGGCCCTCTTTACTCACAATGAGTGTGATTTTAATAGGACCAGATTTTTTTTCTAGTTCTTTTTAAATTACTATTATTTAAATCATTTTATTAGGGGCTCATAAGGACCAGATTTTTTAAATGTAGGTCCTGAGTGTGGAATTTTCAAATTTACATGAAATGTTGACGGGTGGTCAGTTTCCTATGCAGAAGGCAGGCCGCTGTAGCCGCAGTTCCGGTCTCCGCCCCTGGAGCGTCTGGACCTTGTACCCCGCAGCCCGGTTAGCAATCAGAGTTTCCAGATACCTTGGAAACAGCAGAAATTATTTGTTTGAACCCAAAGCTACAAAGAATGAGATCCATTCTTCCACTATTAGATCTGTCTCTCGGGGAGGGAAAAAATTTATTTATTTTTTTGTTCCTGACTTTCCTCTGTTTGTTAAAATATAATTTATGAGATTCCTCTATTTTTAAAACCATAATTTCATTTTGTTCATGTATTTGGAATTAAAAAATCAACTTGGGGACTAAAAAAAAAGTGCATGTGTTTGTGGAAAACCAGAAAAGTGCAGGTGTTCATGATTGTTCACAACACAAACCCTTCGGTGACACTGAAAACACATCTGCCATCTCCATCCTGGGCTCTTAGTAAACACTCCGAGTCCCCTCACGTCTATCAGCAGTTATGTGCAATGCAATAAACCACTAGTCTGTTATTCTCAACTTCTCGAAAGGGGTGCTTTCAGAAATAAGTCTCCCTCTGGATGGGGTCGGCGTGCAGTGTACTTACTTGGCCTTTCTCCAGGTCGCTGTCACTGCTGATGGGGGAAAGTGGCAGAACTAAGACAAAGGAAGACACAGCACAGTGGGTAAGCTCACTCCGGGACACACGAAAACCGCGTTCTGCGTGCCCAATTACACATGCCGGCCATACAAGCTAGAACCACCTGCTAGGGGCAGGCACTTCCTTCCAAGAGTTAGTTTTTAAGAACTCTTCAAGCCTTGTCCACACACAACCCCCTCCGTCCACCACCACCACCAGCCCTGAGCCCTTGTCCTCACAAACAGCACCCTATGTGTCCAGGCTGCTCCAATTCCCGGCAGCTTTGTGTGTTACAGGGACACAGACTTTTCCTGGCTGGAGCCTTTGTCCGAGCAGATCACCAGCGCCTTCTTCCACAGCTTCCCTCGGGGCATTTGAACCACCAGCCTCTAACGAGCAGCCAAGGGCCAATTGCTTACACCCCACCCCACCCCACCCCCAGCGCCCAGCAGGAGTTCTAGGAGGCCCACCTTGTGCCAGGAGCACACCACTCTGCCATCCTTGTTTTTTTTCCACTGCATTTACACATAATTTAGAATGCTCCATGTTCTCGCAGGCCCCTTAAAGCCTCCACTTTCCCCAATAGCTCGAGGTCACGCACTTCTTCCTGGAAGCTTTTCTGATAAAGCCAGTTCAAGATGCTTCTCATCGGAACTCCTCGTTACTCTGTTATCTATAGCTCCTGCTTCACACTTAGCTATTCATAACAAAAATAATGCTCGATCTTCTCGACACGGAACCCCAGTGGGAAGGGTTCAAGACCTTGGGTGCTAACCAGAAGGTTCCCAGTCACATCAAGGGGGCGAAATGTGGCAGTCTGCTTCCATGAACGTGAGCTCTCTTGGAACGCATGTGAGGTTGCTTTGAGTCCGTCTACATGTAATGGTCTGCCCAGCCTCATGTAAGGCCCTTTGGCCTTTCCAAGAAAATGTAGCAAGAAGACAGACAAATGACCCCGTGTGTGGGGACTCTCTCCTGCCCCACATGAGAAAATAGTTTATTCACAATTTTTTTTAAAATGACTTAGAAGAAGATACACATCAAACTTACTTTTCATTCTTCTGTGAGCTACTTTCTTTTTTTTATTAGAATATACTTTTAAGGGCTTCTTTCTTGGCTGACTGCCCCTAGTCCAAGATCTTTCGCTGGTATTACTTGAATCTTCACTGGTCTCAGAGAAGAGATGTTTGTTATACATAAATGTCTACAGACAAATGATAAATGAGAAGGTCAAAGGGCTATAATTAGTGCCATTTTTACATGACTAAATGCATTACAACGGTTTTATGTACAAGAGAAATAGCTCCTTCTAGACAAAAGGGTTCTCTTCTATGATGCCCAGGTCTGGGAGAAAGAAAGGGGTAAGAAAGTACAATTATTTCATCAACTAAGTTGCTGTTGGAAAACAGGACAAAATCCTCTATAAAAGGAAGGGTAAGGCCTTCAAGGAGTTGGTGAAAAAATATGGAATTAAAAGATAATACAATTTTTCCATGAACTTTATGATGCCCTCTTGTATCATAAAACCTGAGAAGGCCAGAGTCTATGTAAGGAAGAAGCCTGTCAGAAAAGGAAAATAAATGCAAGTGTTTTCTACCAACTGAGTGAGAGGAACCAGTCAAACAAGGCAGTCCTAAAGAGACCCAGTTCTCTTCTGGGAACCCAAGAGGCAAGCGAATTTTGGGAATGATGAGGGCAACAAATGTATAGATGTGCTTTACACTATTGATCTATGTATTGTGATGAATTTTATGAGCCCCAATAAATTGATTTAAAAAAAAAAAAAAAAGACCCAGTTCTCACACATTTCACGGTACTTGCAACTACAGAGGTGAGCTCAAAGCACCAGCATTTCAGTTAGTGGTCGACCACAGAACAACGTGAGGCACCGGGGACTCCCAAGTAGACAAAAATCCGTTTCCAAACACTTGTCTGAGGCTACTAGGCTTTTTACTGCACAAGGTCAAAGGGTTTCAGGCTCAAGTAAAAGTGAAAATATGGCTTTAACATAACGTTGTAATTTTTCACAGTATATTTATTTGTGGGTTTACTTACTCGACATTACGAAAGTTTCTGATTTCCCAATTAAAACTGAATGATTCCTTTTAAAGTTCTTTTTTAAGGTTTAAGTTCCATTAGATTTTTAAATATATAGGTAACACCCAGTAGAGCTAAGAACACTTTGGGAGATAGGATGGGCATAACTGACATATAGGGAGCATGCTGGGAAAGAAATAAACGTTAGTACGTTACCGACATCTCTGTGTCTTGCTTTCGCTGACCTTTGAGAGCAGAATATGAACTGAAAAGAAAACCGACAACAGCACTGGGTAAGTCTAGCCCTCCCTCCTCCTTCCCTGGCAGCCCAGTCCTGACTTCTTTCTTCCATGTGTCCTTTGGTTGCATGGGGAGTACCCATCCTGCAGACTGTTGTCAAGCATTTGCCTTCCTCAGAACATTGCATATGAGGAGCTCTGGTGACATAGTGGATATACGTTGGGCTGTGAACCACAAGGTAGGCAGTTCAAGTACCAGCTGCTCTGAGGGAGAAAAACAGGGCCTTCTACTCCTATAAAGAGTTATAGGTGCTCAAAACCCCACGGGGGCAATTCTTCCTACCCTGTGCTATAGGGTCTCAATGAGCCAGCATTGACCCGCTGGCAGGGAGAGAGTCTATGTAAGGTGACCAGACGTCCCACTTTGGGCGGGACAGTCCCAATTTTTGGCGTTTTTAAAAAGTCCCAATTTTTGGAAAGTGCACGACAAGCTAGGGAACGGTCTATTTGGTCCAAATTTTTAATCAAGAACACCACCACCCCCACCACCCCCAGATCCCCGGTCAATGGTGTCCCGCTTTAAATCTGGTCACCTTAGTCTAGTAAGAGGTGACAAACACTTCGTATCTTGCAATTTAAGACTCTGCCTGGCAATTGCTCTTTCCAGAACAAGCCTTTGTGTGGCCCCTTCTCCATCAGACACACACACAGGAAGATGGTGGGTCCGCCAAGTCACTGGAGACCTGGAACAAAGCTGAAGAGCAGCCTAAGCTTGTTACACTTAGAATCACCTGGATGTTTAATGAATTAAGGGTCACGCTGGGTTCCCACTCAAGAGCTTGTGATCCCACTGGTCTATAGCAGGGCCCTGGCACAGGAATGATCTTTCAAAGCCTCTAGCTTTTGATGAGTCCCCAGGAAGCTTTCGCCAGGAAGCTTTCCCATAGTCGAGCATCAGGATTAACTTACTTCAGGATCGATTTACTTACATGGCTTTGGGTGGCAAAAAAAAACCCTTAGGCACCATAACACATTCTTTCCTTATTTGTTGTGGTTGGCTCACAATGCTCTCTGCTTGCCTTAGGCAGAACAGATGCATCCTAGATAGTGAGACCCAAAGGAGTTTACAGTTGGGTGATATGACATATACTGTGTGTGAGGAAAAGAGCCCTGGTGGCAGTGTTGGATAAGTGTTGGGATGCGTGTTGAGTGGTTCAAACCCATCAGCCACTTCTTGGGAGAAAGATGAGGCTGTCTGCTTCTATAAAGATTCAGATACGGTCCAAGAGGCCCTATATGTAGTCACATATGAATCTACTCAATGGCAGCAGGCTTTTGGGGGGCGGGTGAGAAAGACCAGAGGAGGCACTGAGGACAACAGTACAGTAGCACTAGCACCCCCTGCAACGATGGAGTGCTTCCTAGTTGGTGGACCCAGCTGAAGGCTGAAACGGTGGGAAATCATTAGACTCCTCAGCTGTCGTCGTGCACTCCCGGAGACCTACGTAGCCAAGCCAACGGCCAGCTTCGTGACCTGCTATCCGCCCCACGAGGATCACCAGGCCCACGCGAGAACCTGGCACTGGCACCAGGGGGTAGGAGATCGTGGCCAGGGCTGGTGGGCTCGACCTCTTTCTTGTTTCCTGGAGTCACTCAATTTTATTTTATTTTTTTAATCACCGTCACCTTAACGCTTAACTCCTGATGGCCCCAGGTGTATCAAGGTTGAGCTGTTTTCAGTGCCTGATCTGGAACAAATACCTGGCCAGGCTTTTTTCTTTCTTTTCTTTCTTCCTTTCCTTGTTTCCCCTAAACTTTAACAGTTTTATTGACATAGTGACATAATTCACATATCAGACCAACTTAAAACCTATTTGAGTTGTGCAATCACAATAATCCATTTTTAAAACATTTTCTCCTTTCTTGTACTCACTGTTATTAGTTCCTCACACACACACTCTCAGAAACTATTAATCCAGTTACCGTCTCTACAGATTTACCTATCCTGGATTTCATAGACAGAAAAGCATACAGTTGCCAACAGCAAAAATAATAAAATTAAAAGTCACAAAATGAAACAGAGAAACCTCAGTTGAGAAGTATACAGTGAACCCTCGCCACTTCGTGCTTCGACTTCCGCGGCTTCACTCTATCGCATAACAGTACCCACTGCCAACACCCGCTCCTTCAGAGGAAAAAGACGGCGACCCACCTGTAGAGTACATCCCTTAAGTCATTTCATAGGCTATTGATTACAGTATTTGTAAGAACTATGTATAATAGTACTGTATGTGAAATATGTAATACTGTAAACTAGATGCCATAAATAATATAATAAATAATAAATGATAATTGTAATGTCCAAAATGTTTTACTGTATTTTCCCTTTTTCGTTTAATAAATTGGGTAATACAAGTGTAATGGTGACTAAAGGGTGTTTTTTCATGTCCTCTATGCTCTAACTATGAAAATATTTGATTTACAAATAAAGAATCCTACTTCGTGGAATTTCATTTATCACAGTAGGGTCTGGAACCGATTAACCGCGATAAACGAGGGTTCACTGTATTATCTTTCTGAGGAGTTGTCAATTTTTCCAAGAAACAGTTTTATATAAACTTACATACACAACAGCATTGGAGAAAGATTCCAATTTCTCCCCATTTTTGCCAACACAGTTTATTATCTGTGTTCTTTTTCAGTAGTTAAGATGAGAGAGCTCATAGTTATCCGCCCCCGCCCCGTGTATCACACAATTGAATCATTCAATCATATTAAGATTTGTGCAATCATCACCACAATCAATTTCAGAGCATTTTCTGCTCATACGCAGAGTTGTTAACTACCTGTTTCCCCATATCCTCTCCTGCCATGCCCCTGTCCAGTTACCGTTTCTATAGATCTACCTATCCTGGATTTCTTACACAGAAAATCAGACAAAACAGTACACAATCATACCAAGCAAACAAACAAAAACCCAACATCGACTAGACAGAGCACCGCAAACCTCTACCAAAAAGAAAGTAGAAAACATTAGAAACAGAACCAACCTTACAATGGGTAGAAAGGGAGATTCGATGATAGGACGTTTTAACCTCACTACATCTGCCAGGCCTTTTCTCTGAGGCACCTCTCATTGGACTCAACTCTGCACACTTTCTTTGAGCAGTGGGATGACTGCACAGTTTGCACAATCCACCTCCCAGAGCAGATGGACAGCGCCTATGAGAGCCTCGGTGTTATGTGTGAGCGCTGGGTTCTCTTGAGGGGGTTGGGGACCCTTAACACTCAAGAGTGGGTGGTGGTTTCAGTAGTGTTTTAAACGAGCTCAACATCTTCTCTCCTGTTCTAAGGGAAAGTTCTCTGGGGCAACAGTCACGCACCCCTTTTCCAACGATGACGCTGGACTGCGAGGAGCAGCGACTAGAGCGCGCCAGGCTGCCTTGACCACGCAGACCGCAGTGCAAGCTGGCCTGGAGACGCGCTCGCTCGCTGCTGGAGGGACGCAGCCAAAATTCATGGAAGCAACCAAGTCATCATTCTGTGTGTGTGTGTTGGGTGGGGGGGGGCATGCAATGATAGTAATGACGACTGTATAACCCCAGGTGAGGGGAACAAACAAGATTTACAAGGGAGCAGATTCATTGGTTGATGTAAGATACTGCTAATGATAATAATAACAATAACAATATATAATATAATAGGGGTTCCTGGGGAGGAGGGAGGGGATAAAGGGGAGCTGATATCAAGGAGTTCAAGAAGAAAGAAAATGTTTTTAAACTGATGGTGGCAGCAATTGTACAGTTATGCATGAGTTAGTGGAATTATGGATTGTTACAAAATCTGTATGGGCTCTCAATAAAATGATTTTTTTTAATCTTTAGGAATAAGGATCTGAATCAGTTAAGACCTTTTTCTTTTTTAATGTGAAAAGTAAAATGTTTGGACAAAGTTACAGTCATAGTAACAGTAATGCTAATTAGTTCATTTAATTGTCATAGCCCTTTGTTTTAGTATCCCTACTTTGTAGAGGGAAAAAGTGACTTTTCCAAGCCCGACCAGCTGGAAGTGGTCAGCTGGGATTTGAACCCACTCCGCCAGCCTGACTACCTAATCCATGTTCTTGCCCTACGTTATATGTACTGCCTGTCCTAAACATAAGCTGCTACTCACTCAACACTAAGAGCCAGCCACTGTGCTGGGCATATTACATGCAGGACCTCATTCAATCTTCGCATATCTCCCCCTCTTCACAGAGTAGAAAATTGAACATCTAACCCAAGAGGAGACATGGACAGTAAATGAACATATTAAGAACTGTTTTAAACCACTAGTCATTAGGAAAATACAAATTAAACCTTCGATGAAATAGCATTTCCTCTAGGATGTAGAATTAAAAAACTGATAAAACCACATATTGGCCAGAATGTGTAACCACTAGAATTCTCAACCGGAACATCAACTCAAGAGAATATGTACACTATCAACACCATCCCCTAATGAAGCCAGCAGAAGCCTGCACACAGTGCTCCGGGAATAGATGTGGCCAGATGTGGGAAGCAGCAGCAGGTGAGCCTCTGTCGGCCTGTGGTTCTCACGTGACCAGTGATTCAAATGGTTTGCTCATTTTGAAAATCACTTACCTAGAGATGCCTTTCCCTCCTGGAACAGGAACTTGAACAGAAGTTTCTTCTAATTCTGTTGAAAAGTCAGATTCTGAAGTAACTTTTAACCATAAAAATAAAAAAAAACAACAGTGCTTAAGCATCTCAATCTACCATTCAGTTCTTACGATAGGTTTAAAAATAAATCCCTAACCTCAGCGGTTATCTGCTCATTTTAATTGTCCAGACAAATTAACAGTGCTATCGCTCTGCTTCAAATATACAGGGATAGAGATTCACTTTATTCTGGAACCTTCGCAGTTCCATGTTTGCACAGGGCCACTTTGTCCTCGGTAAGAAAAGCCTTTCCACTGAGCACTAAACACCCGCCTCCTCATTCATGAGACTCTGCTACAGGTGGCAGCTGACTGCTCCCAAAAGTTCAAGGCGGCCCTCAGGTCAGGAAGAGACAGGTGTCACTGCTGAAGAGAGCCGGAGCCTGTGTCCCCGTTACTGGGGGAGATGCCAAAGGAAGGCGGACAGAAAGAGCCGCCCAAAGTGAGTGCTGCTGACACACGCAGGAACCGCCGTGGAGAGCAGGTAAGGAGGGCTATGTGGAAATTCATCGCTGACGTGTCCTTTCTGAAACAATCGTGACGTCATCATCGTCCTTTTGTATAAATCAAATGTTAAAAAAACGAGGACTGGATGGAGTAGCTAAACAAGGGAGCTTCGAAAAGTTGGTGGAAACATGGGATTAGCAGGCAGTGGAATTTTTCCACAAGCTTTTTGAAACCCCCTCGTAGGTGCTAAGCACTGTGATAGATGCTTCAGAAGAGACTTGGTGATGCAGTGGGTTAAGCACAGGGGTGCTAACAGTGAGGTCAGGAATTCAAACCCACCAGCCATTGCACTAGAGATAAGGCTAGATTAGGCTATCTGCTCCCCCAAAACTTCCTGTCTCAGTCGCCCTAAAGGGCAGGTCTCCTCTGTCGTGTGGGGACCCGAAGAACAGGGATGGATCCAGCAGCGGTGGGTGCGGGGTCATGGTGAGGCTCGGCACTGTGTGTGCATTCTGGTTTCCTCTTCACAGGGCAAAGCCTGCAAAATAGTGATGACCTCCCCTTGGGATCCTGCCAAAGAAGCCCTGGTGGTGCAGCGGGTCAGGTGCGGGGCTGGCTCCTTTCTCTAGAGCTCCAGGTCCAGCTATCACAGACAGGAGAGGCAGACGCCAGCCGAGCCCCCAGGAATAGCCATGTTGAGTGAAAAGAGAAGATCCCATAAACATGACGGGCAAAAGCCTCTCACGGAGGGACTGGTGAAAAGGAGGTGAACCATCCAAGCGGACACACTGGTGATGAAGGCAGGAAGGCAAGTGTCCGAGGCCAGCATGCGAGTGGACCGTTCAAAGCCAGACTCCCAGCTGGCTTTTCCTGCCCATCACAGAAAGGCGTTACTAGGCAATGGTCAACTCTAGCACCCATGAACTCCTCTTAGTCCTGGGGGTCAACTACCTCGACTAAAGAACACTAAAGAAGATATTTTTAAAATAAGGATAACCATGTTTCATGTGGCATACTCTCCATTGGTCTTGGTGGCTCCCACATGGCCAGGACAGGAGCCATCCCTGCAGGTGAGCTGCTAAGCAGGTTCTACCTCAACTCTAAAATCAGTAACTGATGGGGACTCGGGAAAATCTCCTAGGAATTCAACTCAAGGAACATACATCATCTCGTGAGTGATCAGGGGAGGCTTTGTGGGCAGCTAGGTAAGCCCTTCTAGCCATGACCTAAGTACTATGTAGTCTTTGGCAGGGCCCTCTCCCCTTCCCCCCCATCTTTGTCATTTCCAAGAGAGATTTTAATGGGGTGGAGGGAATCATTCCAGGCTGCCAGCTGCCTTTCTTTCACCAGATGAATTCTGCATGTATTACTTTTATATGCCCAGAGCTTTGCAGGGCCCGCTTCCAGTAAGAATTCACAACTCCTTTTTACAAAGAATGCAGAGTAAGAATTTTCAAATTTCTCAACATGCCAAACCGTGTGTGTGTGTGTGTGTGTTTACCGGAAGCGGCTTGGAGGAGAGCATAGGGCAGTAACACACGTAGGCACTTCCAGTGAGGGCAGTGTGTCTGGAAGCCAGTCTGATGGTGGCTTAACTAGCTTTGTGCAATCCTCCAAGAGATTTTACATGTATCAACTCATGTAATCTTCATCAACTGTGAGAAGCAGTCACTGTTCTTTCCCATTAAAAAGAGAGTCACAAACTGTGCACAAGGTCACAGCCACAGAGCATTTGAACTCTGTCTGACTTCTTAACAATGCAAAGGCCAATACAGTCTACAAATTTGCCTTAAGAGCCCTTGATTTCAAGCTACAACGGAGCCTTCATTCCGAAGGCTCATATATAATCAGGCCAGGTCCTCCTCCTTCAGTGGTACAGAGAGTATATTCCTGACACAGAGAGTCATTCTCAAACAAACAAACAAAAAGAGTCATTCTCAACTTTTGACTAAACCAGAGACCTGCCTTCAGGAGAGAGTAAGACTGTCATACAGAAAAATTAGGAAGCAGAAAACAAAATGTAGAAAATGACACCCTTGCTTTAATCGTTAAATCAAGTAACAATTTACTTATCCAAAAAGCACAAACTGCTTCATGTCCGGAATCCCACGGCTCCTCTGATCTAAAACGGTAACTCCCTTTTAATTCTCATTGGTACATTCGGTGCCTGCACCTTTGTTAAACTTCCCGTGAGCTGCTGGCTGGGAGCCCAGTGGTACCTGCCATGTCGTTTTCCTCCCTCACTGATGAATGGAACTCCCGAGAGACACCATCTTCCCATCTTGACTGCTTCGGTGTTACAAAGCCACCATCGGACAGGTCTAAAGGCAAACGGGGCACAAGGTGTTACCTCACACACCTTCCTTTCAACCACACTGGTTTCCTGACAACTTAGTGTCTAGCCTTGACAAGCAGCAACTGATACATGTCCCTGTTGGTCCTTCCTTCTCACTGGGCACCAGGACAAGGCGCAGTCCGAGTATCAAAGCACCAAGGGTGCGAATGGCACCCAGGAACAGGCCCCCCGCTGCTGCACAGTCACAGTTAGGGGCACTGTGCTAGCCAGGGACAGGCTCAGGCGAATGAAAAGCAGGCACACTGGCTTCCAAAGCAACCTTCCCGGGGCCTGTGTCAGCTGGCAGGGTGGCCATGTGTCCAGGCAGGTGGGCTTCCAGCAGCTCACTGAATCGCACCAGTGCGCCACCTGCTGGCAGGTCCACACTTCTCATGGGATGCCCCTGAGCGTCAGCTCTCTATCAAAGGCCACCTCAGACAGAACAGCTTGGCTCCTCCCTCCCTAAAGTTACTTTAATAGTCTCAGCTTCTCAGGTTTAAATACATAGTCCCATTCCAACCTAGTGTATAACTGAATGTTTCCTTCCAGGTACTCATGTGCGCCCCAAACATACCCTCTGTCTCTCAGGACCGCTCTAATATTACTGGTAAGTATAAACCAATATTCTAATAACATTGCTAAATATAAACCACTATTCTAACAACGTTGCTAAGTATAAACCAGTTGCTTGGGTCGATTTAAACTCATGGGAAAGCAGAACTGTACGAGAGAGAGAGAGAAAGAGAGAGAAGAAAATATACAAAATTTCAATAAATTCTACATGTACAATTTTTACTGTCTTTCCCCCAAAATTATTACACTAACATTAAAATAACCTACTGTCCCCTAAGTTTCTCATCTAACTTTTGGAGATGCTGTTATCAATTTGATCTCGCACAGATAAATCTTTGAGAGACAGCACAATCCTCAAAGCAGCCACACTTACTAATGAGACTAAGAACTCGGGGAAAACACTTCCTTTAAGGTTTAGCGACGATCTCAGATAGGCATCCAATCTCAATGGCTCCAGAAGTTCTGCATTATGTTCAAAATTCCGTTCTGGTTTTGTCCACTTCTGATGAGGATTCTTCTACAGAATCAGAGGTCAGAATGTTCCGTAATGGACCCAGCCAGGCATCACCCAGTTCTGGTCTCATAGCATCCGGAGGTCAGATGTTTATGGTAACAACATGGGCTCCTCAGATCCTCTCTCTGCTACTCAAGGAGAATGGGAGGCCGCCTGGCATAGCATGAACACTTGCCATACTAGTAGGAGGTAGACCAGAAGTGCTGAGAGACTGTACAGGTACTCCCCTGGTTTACAGTGTATTCTAGTCATCATAAACCACACCTGTGAGCAGATGTTGTTCTTCTTAGCTTTGTATTTCATCATGAGTTAATAGATATGGCAAAGAACATTGTAGCACATGGCGTGCCAGGCAGTTCCTAGACTCTCCCTTCCAGAGTGAGGTAGGTGAGTGAGCCCCATATAACTGTGGCTACATGAGCCGACCTGCTGTGCTCCAGCCTGCAGGTCCCTGCCCTAGTGAACCTGGTTTTCAGCCTCACCCTAAAGGGCCCAAGACACTAGCCATCTCCACGGGAATGGGCTGCAGCACTGTCCACACTCACCCAAAGGTGGAACCCTCTACATGTCCACCGACAGATACATGGATAAAGTAGAGATGGTATGCCCTGACAGTGGAGTTTTACATAGTTATAAAGAAAAATGGGGGAAAGCCAGGGCTTCTACTCCTGTAAAGAGTCACAGTCCTGGAAACTCACAAGGCAGTTAGTTCTACCCTTTCCTAGAGGGTCTCTAAGAGTCAGTATCGACTCAACGGCAGTGAGTTTGGTTTGGGTTTTATAAAGAGAAATGACGTCCTGATGTATGCTACGACATGAATGAGCCCCGAAAACAGTATGCTGTGTGAAATTAGCCAACCACAAAATGGCAAATATTGACAAAATAGCACTCATCAAACATTCAGGATAGGCCAGGGCTTAGAGACGAGAGCTCAGTAGTGGCCACCAGGCGAGGAAGGGAGGAAGGTGGAGCCACTCTTCTAAAACATGGAGCTGTCTGTGGTGGTGGACATTTGGCAGAGGCTATTGGTGACGATTACACACAATGATCAACTGATTTCTCTAAGTGAAAGTATGATGTGTCCCATGCGGTGTTGCATATACAACCATTTCTAGGAATAAAAAATGAGAGAAGTGCCTCCTTCGAGAAACAGGAGTCTCTCACAAATATCTATTTACATGGTGCGGAATTGACATAAGAAGTACCTTAAACGTGTGCACCACTGTACGTATATAATATAGGAGGGAATATAGGACATCGTTTACTTTGGGGGCATAGAAGAATTCCTCAAGACTTAAAAGCACCAACCATGGAAAAAAGAATGATAAATCTAACTTCTAAACATAACTACATTTAAGCGTGTTCATTTATCATAAAGCTGGTGAGGCTGACGTACCAACAACAGGCAACGTGTAGAGATCAGAGTTCTGTTTTGTCTTTAAGTGGTGAACTGAGGAGGGGTGTCAAGAGAGGGAAACGAGGGAATAGACTGTTTAGCAAGAACTGAAAATATGTGTCGGAGGGTAGAAACTTCGGCATAAGATACAGGTGATGGTTGCAAAATATAACTAAAAGAATTTATCTCAATTGCATATATGAAGCGTGTTGAAATGGCAACTGTTGTGTTGTCGACACTTTTATTATTTAAAAAAAGGAGTCATAAGAACACCTTGCAGACTGAGAGGTACAAACCACAAGGTATAAGAAGTTACCTCCACCCCATCAGACTGCAGGACTGATATCCAGAAGTGTGAAGAACCCCTCAGATCAATACAAAGAGATGAACCTATGGATAATGAGGCAAGAGCTTCAAGTATCACACAGAAAGGGAAATTCAAATGGCTAATGGGCACATAAACAGATGCTGACACTCAATCAGGTAGACTCGTCTTAAGATCTTGACATAAACAACTGTACAACTGGCCTAAAAGTTAACGTATTTAGTGATGGCAAGGATATGGAGCAACATAGTTCTCACACACGGCTAGGTGGGACACTAATCTGATATAAGCACTTTGGAAAACAGTTTGGCACATCTAAAGCTGTCCAAACTATATACACTCCATGGTACAAAAAAAAAATCTACTTGTGGATATTCTACCTGGAGGAAAATAGTCACAGATGCACCCGGAGAAATGCACACAAGTCTCCATCACGGGGTTATTTACAACCACCTACACTGCCAACAAGCCAAATATCCCAGGACATCGTTGTTGTTGGGTGCCATCGAGTCAGTTCCAACTCCTAGTGCCCTGTGTACCGCAGACCAAAACACCGCCCCGTGCCGTGCCATCCTCACAAATGCGGTATGGTTGAGCCCATTGTTACAGGCACTGTGGCAACGCATCTCTTTGAAGGTCTTCTCCTTTTCACCAACTTGCCACTTTACCAAGCATGATGCTCTTTTCCAGGGACCAGTCTCTCCTGATAACATGACCGAAGGATGTGAGGAGATGCTTCACCACCTTCCCTCCCAAGGACCACTCTGGCTGTAGTACTCGAAAGACATTGTGTTTGTTCTTCCGGCAGTCCCTGGAACTTTCAATATTCTTCACCAGCACCACAACGCAAAGGCATCGATTCTTCTTCAGTCTTCCGTAGTCACTGTCCAACTTCCACATGCATATGAGTGATTGGAAAGGCCTTAGCTTGGCTCAGACACACCGCAGTCCTCAAAGTGACAGCCTTGCTCGCCAGACTTTAGAGCGACCTTGTGCAGCAGGTTTTCTCAATGAAGATGTCCTTTGTCTTGACTGCTTCTTCCATGAGCTTGGTGGATCCAAGCAAGAGGAAATCCTGGGCAGCTTCCATCTTTTTCCCACAACACTCACAAGCCAGACTCACGGCCATCGAGTCAATTCCAACTCCCAATGCCCGTCGCCCTGGGATGTACAGATTCTGATATATTCCCGTGGTGGAAAACCCCACTGTGAGGACGATGAATACACCTCCCCTAAAGGCATCAGAATGAACAGACCTTACACATGATCTGACCACACCAAATGATGCCATTTGTATACATAGCAAAGGGAAAAAATGAAACTGCATATTATTCTAGGAATACCTACAGAGAAAATAGAATGCTGGGGTAAACAATGAAAGGATTTTCACAAAGGTAGGGACAGTAGTCTCTCTGAAGTAATGGAGTAATTAATAGGAAGCAATATTGTGTATGGAAAGATTCTGAGGTGCAAGACTGGGCAGTGTTTCATTTTTTAGTACATAAAATTGTCATCAGAACCAGCTCTAAGAACAACAACATATACAAATAGTTAAATTTTCTGCACTGATCCATCTGTGTACAAATTACGCTAAACATGGGCTCAAATACAAAGACAGGGTCCATTCTAGCCTTACTTTTCTGCTTCTTTGCACCTCATACTCCAACGGTGAGAAACCAACCACCCACCATTTGCTATCTGTTTACTTATTGGTCAATTGTGGCAGTTTCAAAATTGGTCATCTAAAACCCCTTGAGAAATAAATTCCATTTACTAAAAAAGAAAGAAAGAAGAAATTCTGAGCCACAATGGCAATTTCATTGTTTTTTAAACCACATTTGTTTTGTATCTCCTTATGATGGCATTATGAATAGATGGCATTTTTTCATCATGTAAAATTTTGTTTCCTGCTCAGGAAAAATGCTGCAGAAACTGTTGTGATGCTGAACACAGCTTACAAGGACAGTGCTGTGGTAAAAACTTAAGTGTATGCGTGCGTGGCAATGGGATCAAATGAAACATTAAGTCTAGTGCTCACCTCTGGGGGGACGGAGCTCCAACAGGTTCATGGAAACATTACAAACCAGCTGCCGTTGGCTCCATTTGGATTCATGGAGTCTCACATCTATCAGCGAAGGACTACAAGGGGGTACACCAAAAAAACCCGGAATTTTTTTTCCCCAAAGCTCTGTATTTTAAACATTTCACCTTCAAAGTACTCTCCATTACACTTAATACATTTGCCAAATCGGTAATTCCATTATTGGAAACATTTGTCAAAGTCATCTGTTTGTATGGCTGACAGCACCTCCCTTGTTTTTCCCTTCGCCTCTTCTACGTTGTCAAATTGCTGTCCTTTCAGGTCCCGCTTCGTGCGTGGAAACAAAAAAAAGTCACACGGAGGGAGGCCAAGTGAGTAAAGTGCATGGGACAAGAGAGGCATGCTATTTTTTTGCCACAAAACTGGCACACTAAGATGGCTATGTGAGCAGGTGCATTGTCATGGTAGCAAAACCAGCCCCGTCAACCACAAATCAAGTTTTTGGTCACACACAGTTATGCAATCTTTTCTGAACCTCTAACTAGAAAGTATGATTAAAGTCTGACCTGGGGGAATGAACTCCAAATGCACTATCGGTCGACATTTTCATCCATTCGGGAAGTTGATGGACATCCAAAACGAGGTTTGTCATCAATTAACATTTCACCTTTTTTGAAACGAGAAAGCCACGCATGCATACACTTGAGTTTTTCCCACAGCACTGTCCTTGTAAGCTGTGTTCAACATCACAACAGTTTCTGCAGCATTTTTCCTGAGCAGGGAACAAAACTTCACAGCTGCATGCTGTTCTCTTAAATAGGCCACCACAAAATAATGGGGTTGGAGCAAAACTGCTTTCAAGAAAAAAAATTCCATGTGACCAAAATCTTCCAAGGAGACACCACTGAGTGTACTAACTCCGAGGGAATTGCTCAAAAAATGTGTACTCAGCAAGCTCGGCTGCACCCAAACGTCATTCTGGCTTTGGGGTTTACCGTCTTGGGTGCTCCATGCAGCGTTGTGTATATCGGCGAAGGACTATGACCCATAGGTTTTTCAATGGCAGAGTTTTCTAAAGCAGACTGTCAGAACTTTCTGATCATACTGTATTTCTTAAACTGAAGGCTCTAGTGGTCCAGTGGGTTACACATTGGGCTGGGAACCACGAGAGCAACAGTTCAAACCCACCAGCAGTTCCATGGGAGAAAGATCAGGCTTTCTTTTCTTCTCCAGTAAAGAGTTAGTCTCAGAATCTCACAGGGCAGTTCTACCCTGTCCTAGAGGGTCTCAATGCACCAAGATTGAATCAATGGCAGTGAAAACATTTCTTAAACTGGATATTTAGGGATGCAGATGTTAGTTATGTTAATACTCTAAATATCTGACTCATACTTTTTTAGCTATTCTAAATCTGTACATTTAAGAAATGAAGACAAAGCACCATAAAATATCATTACATGTTATAGACCTCACAACATTGTGAATGAGCTTGGAAACCTCATACCATTGTTATCACGCAAACATTTGTTCAGAACTTTTAATGACTTGACCTCAACCCTTAAGTGGCCTAAATACTCCAAATGGTATGAGCTTCCTGGCCAGATCCAATGGAAGATGTTCCCACAATTTGCTGAGGCCCACGAGGAAGCAGCTGTTTGAGGGAATTCGTATTCCAGGATCTATGCTCCTGGGGACTACAAAGTCTGGCTCCTGTGTACAGCCCCTCTGGGTCCCTCTTGGACTTTGTTACCGATTGAATGGCAGCCCCTTAAAAGACAGACTGGAGTCTGAGCTCCTGGTACCTGTGAACGTGACTGTGTTTGGAAAGAGCATCTCTGAAGAAGCTGTCAGTTAACAGGAGAACATATGACAGGTCCTGCTCCTTCATGACTGGAGCCTTTAGAACAGAGACACGAAGACAGGGACAGAGGAGGGACACCGTGTGATGCTGCAGATTCTAACTAACGAGCCCCAGGAGCCACCAGAGACTAGGAGAGAGGGAGGGGCACAGTTTCACCCTCAGAGAGCTGGAAATAAGTCAACATCTAACTTGGACTTCTGCCCTCTCAAACTGAGACACTGAAGTTGTCCTTACAATGCACCACTTTGTGATGCTCTGTCCAGGATCCCTCGCCAACTAACACTGTGTTTGAGCAGATCTCAAAGAGGCAGTGGTCTCAAAGAGCAGAATTTATCTGCTGCTGTTAGAATCATTGCCTAGCATGCCAAAACCAGCCTTTTCTTTTTTTCTTTCCTTCCTTAAAGACAGTTTCTCCCCCTCTTACCTGTGTCTTCCAAGGTGGGCAGCTTATGTTTGAGGTTAGTCATCAGTGGCTCTTGGTTCGCAATCTTAAAAACACAATAAATAGACCATAAGTATATGAGTTGTGGGTCAAAGAAAATTCTATATTGTCCCTTAAATGGGAATAAGCCAGTACACTATACAAATATGAGTCTGGGTTCTGGAAAACCAGGCCAATAGCCAATAGTTACATAGTACCGTAGGTCCACTTTCTTCAGCTGCTGACTGCTCCAATAGAACCGTAGGTGCACTTTCTTCAGCTCCTGACTGCTCCGAGGTAGAAGGCTCACTCAGCAGGAGAGGACCTTGATATTCCGAGTGTTAAGAGAGAACCGTGTCAGGTGACGTGACACTCCAAGAAACAACTTGAGCCAACACTTTTCATTGTTAGAAAATATAAAGAGACAAAGTTCTAAATAAAACCAAACCAAACGCGCGTGCCTCTTGGAGGATGTGTGTGGTTACTAGGTTTGTAGATCTGCAGATAAAAGGAATGGCCAATGACCTCTACAGATTCATGTATGACCACCTTCTCATCTGGCCCCACACGCACTGGGGCTACGACTCTTACACCCCAGCTTGTGCTTGCACTCTTCCCTTGCTCTATTCCCTCTGGTGCTCTCGTTTTACAATTCTCCTCTCTCCTTTGGCCTTCCAGATCCAACCCCACCTACCACTTCATTTCGTAAACACAGCTTTGGGGCTGCCACTGCCAGGCTGAGTAGTGGCAGCCCCGAGGTTTTCAGCGTGCGCTTCCAGCTAAGAATTGATGACTGCTTTTATGAAGAATGCAGGGCAAGAATTTTCAAATTTTTCGATATGCCTAACTCTCTCTCTCTCTCTCTTTTTGGTGTGGTTACTAGAAATTTCAGTCTCCTTTTCCACACCTACCAATAGATTCTGAGGACTCTTCTTTCACATAAGGCACCGTCTGAAATGCAAATCAAACTCACTTTTAAAAGCAGTCATCTCTTCTGTAATAATCACAATGATTTCATTTCAGAACATTTTTTAAAAGCCATAATCACCTTTATGTATTTGTGTGTGCACACACTCACAAATACACACACATACATGCAACATACTTAAAGCTCAAACCACCAAAAAGTAATAAATTAGAAGATAAACCTTCAGTTTTCTTTTTTTTAAGGATCACTGTACTCTCTCCAGCCTATGCCTGTTCCGTGTTCCAGGACCAATTTCGCTGTCCAGTCCTCAGCTCAGAACTACTCGGTGTTGGCATCTTATGGCCTCTCTCTCCTCAGCCCAAGTATAACCTCTATGTTAACGTCTAATCCCTGCTGCACCTGCTGGGGATCAGGTGGGACCACCCACTATGGGTTTTGCAGCGTGTTCCCACTTGTAGGATCTCAGCTCACCCATGTTCCCAGGGTTCTCCCATTCCAGGAACTGTGACTTAATAGCATGAAGACCCTACTTCTCCCCCTGAAACCCTCATTCACTTTATGAAATGAGTAAACACATCTAGTCTTTCATAAGTAAAGGCATTCCAGTTTTATGCTAACTCAGATAGAAGGGGTTGTTTTCTATAAGAAACAATTACTTTGTAACATTTGTAGCAAAGAAAGACTTCTTTCTATTATATATAAAGAGGGAAACTCACAGAGAGACTATGATATATAAATGGCCTAGAGCATGCCCAAAAGATAAGGCACTTTGGTAAATGTCCCTAAGAAACGTCCCCATTGATCATTCTCCTGGGTCTAAGGGGGGCTGAGAGAGAAGGAAATACCCAGAAGTCCACAGTGAGTACCCTGGAATATCAGGAAGAACATAGCCAGGTGTGGACATTATCCCAGCTAGGAGTTAGGTTGTTCACTGCAAACAGAATGGAAGTCATTTCAAGAGGCTTTATGCCCTTCACAGGTAAGACAGGTGAAGGAAGATGGCCAGGGAGAACTTGAATTCAAGCCCAGACCTCTCAATTATCACACGGTATTCAACATTCAAAAGATCAAGCTTTCTGCTTGAACCTATACTCACTATATTCACAACTTTAAGAGACACTGAAACATATTCAAATAATCAAAGTTAAGTGTGTGACCTGATCGTCTCCGCCTAGAACCTTTCTGGAAACGTGCGAGATGCCGAATTGCAAATCAAAGTGGATTTTGGTTTTCATCACGTCTTTGTTGCCGATAACCATCGGCTGCTTAAGGTGAATAACAAGCATCTTCATTGTCTCCATTTCTACCGAAACAAAGAATATACCAATGCGTTAGCAATATCCTCAAAGATCTCATTTAAATGAATAATCTCGTTTTAAAAATTAAGAGATTTAAATAACCGCACCAGAATTTTCCTCAATTGTCCAGAGTTTTCTGAAATACGAAGTTGACAAGAAAACATATTACATGTGTTTGAAATTATTTCTATTACAGGCACACGTGTGCATTGTTGACCTTACACAAAGTTGAGACAGTAATTGACTGAAGCAATGAAGAACGAACGCTGCACAAATGTACAAATGTGCTTGACATACAAAGGATGTATTGTGGTTTGTGATGAGTTGGACACGCCCCCAAGAAAATTATGATTTTAAAAAATGAATTAATGCTGCAGTTCAATCTGGTTTGTTTTTAAAGAACATTTCGTCAATGCAAAGCTATCATATGTATCTACTTCCCAATATGTATTAAGCATAATCATCACTCATTCTCTTTCTCTGCTCGCATCCCTCCCTCCGTCTTTCTTCCTCCCTGCAAGTCCCACTTCTGTCTATGGTGCGAAGTGAAATCCGCTGTTCTCCATGTGCAAATGGAATCACCTGCCTCCATTTCGAAAAGCCCTGCTGAAAAAAACACAGAAATAGAAACCATCTAGAAAGAGGTTTTTAATTTGACAGTAGTGTCCTTTAGGGTCTCCACCCAAGACATCAGCCCTGTTCTAACAGTTATCCACTTCAGAAGAGAAGACCTGAGATCATAACTTGGGGAGCCCATGAAAATGACACAAAAGCCAAAAGTGGAATTAGCAGCAGCAAGAGGACCGAAGAGCATGACACCCGGTGCCACAAACTAATCAGAATGAGAGAGTGGGACACACCTGGTCAGGACCCATGCTGACAACCTAGGGACACCGTAGAATGTCACTGATATTATACGTGCATCCTGAATGAATACTGACAGATAATTACTATGGAAATTAGTGATTACATTGGATTTCTAGTTCTCATTAGCCTGCAGTGGTTCTCAACCTTCCTAATGCCGCGACCCTTTAATACAGTTCATGTTGTGGTGCTCCCCCCAACCATAAAATTATTTTCATTTCTACTTCATAACTGTCATCTTGCTACTGTTATGAACTGGACAACCCCTGTGAAAGGGTCATTCGACCCCCCCCAAAGGGGTCGCGACCCACAGGTTGAGAACCGCTACATTAGAGATTTCTAAACCTCTTTCTTACACCATAGGCAGGAGGCACTTCCAACTCAATGTGCACTGCACCTGTGCTTACCGAGATGTCAGCTTCCCTCCCTCTCAGCTCTCTGAGCTCCTCGGATGCCAATGGTAGGCTTTCAAAATCTAGCTTTCTAGTCCTCCCTCCCTCCTTCCTTCTATTCGCTTGGGGCTTCGCTGTAAACACCTCTCCGGCCCTTCTGCTGTGTTTCCTAATCCACCTCCATTCCCAAAGTCCTGCTTTTTCTAATAATCCCCAACAGAGGAAACTCTAAATTCCTGCACATAAAAACTAATTCCCACAGGCACAGCAAAGAACGATATGGGTGGCAATGGAAGGCACTGAAATGAGCCAGGATGTTGCCGTGTACCCCCCTCTAGCACATCCTTTTGGGTGACCTGGGACACTTTCACTGTCCTTGGGAACTTTACATCCGTGTGTAAGCTGCAGGAGTCCTCAGGCGATCCAAAGAGCCAATACGCTTAGCTGATAATTGGAAGGCTGGAGGCACCTTGGAACAAAGGCCTGGCAACCTAGTGCTGGAAAACCAGCCAGTGAACACCCACGTGGAGTACATTTCTACTGACAGCCATGGGCTCACAAGGAGCTTGAGTCCACTCTTACCAGCCGGTAGATAAAATTGTATAAAACCAGCAACAATGCAAACAATCCTTGTCCACAGAAATACACCTGGATGGTATCTGTGGAATGCAACTGGCTGGTTTTCCAACTATCTGTAAACTCATTTCAGTGTTGCCTGTATACACGTGGTCCTTTGAATTCTCCTTTGAACCAACTGTAGTGTTTTTGAGGTGTCTTCATTGATTAGTGAATTGGAAATGCATATTCTATTAGATAAATTTGATATCTGTATGAGGACCACAGGTTAACAGAGCACTGAAATGAGTTCACATAGACCAGAGTTTGTTTTCAGCACGGGGAATGATGCTGGAAGGGGGATTATAATACCCCTCCTGGGCCCCAGGGAGTACTTCACACGAGAGTTCAGGAACAAAAAGGATTATCGCCTCGTGGCTTCCAGGATGAGATCCATGCTCCAGGTCGTGTTTCATTTTGCACCCAGGTTTCCAGGAAGCTAAGAATCCAATGTGCATCCAAAAAATAGTCATTTGACTTTAGCTTCCATGGTAGGCACTTAAATTATTTTCTGAGGTTCCAATTTTCTATTTATATTGTTTTGGTGTAAGGTATAGGCTGCCTTAAATCCTCTGTGGAAACATATTAAAATGTAATAGTGATATAATTACACAATATTTAATTTTAACTCTTTGGCAAACCTCATTACTTAAAAAAAGGGTACATACCATATATATTCGAGTATAAGCCAACCTGAATATCAGCCGAGGCACCTAATTTTACCAAAAAAACTGCATTACAAATGTGCTGGACACCAACATGTGTGATCATGAAGGGCCGAAGGGACCAGGCTTCAAACACCAAAGGTGGGGGTGGG